TTTTTTTTTTTTTTTTTTGGTAAAGGTTAAGTTACACATTAAGACACTGAAGATGAAAAGCTGTTGAAAAAAAAATCTTCAAATGTACAAAGTTGTTTATTTTTCTTGGCATTTAAAAATACATGAACAACTTAAAATGAATAATGAATACACATTAAGTTAGTGTTTTATCCTTATTATACAATTGTCATTTTAGGGAACTGCTCCATTCAGTTAAAACCCAATGAACACCATCAATACTTCCTGGCTTATTTTTTTTGATCAGATTAGTATGTAATATTGTTACCTTTTTTTAAAAAAAATGCTTAGAAAAATTACAATATTGTAGTTTACAGAAGCCCTTTAAACATCTCAGGTCACAGAGGTTAAGACTAATGATGTCGCTCTTCTTAGGAAGACCCTCTTGGAAGAGGAATTCAATACTAAGCAGGTTACGTAAACAGAAAAAACAACCACAATTTTTAGTACCAGAACCACTGCTAACCTGCATGAAGGTCATTTGCCACATTTTAAAATACTTGGAATTTAAACACATACATCATGGCACAGAATTTTAATCATTAAATCAGGTAAGTGATGGTAGTTAAAAATGATAACCTGAAATGTGGGAACCTGATACAATGTTTTATTTATGTGTGACTAGAAAAACATATTTATAAAACACAAATACCAGATATTTATCAGATTCAGTTTTTCCATTCTTAGATACTTAAACCAGAATATATTTTGAAATTTCTTTCTGATTTAGTCATAAAAATCAGTCTTATTTTTTGTTTCACTTTTGTACTTGAAATGGGCAAAAACTGTTCCCCTTTTCACTACTGTTCCTGTTCAAAATGAATTTTCCTCCCCAATTAACTATATTCTAAAAGGGAAAACGTGGTCACCATTAAGTATATTTAAAAAGTGATTGTAGACTCAAACATGGAATTGGAAACTGGAGTTCTAAAAGTCTTTTGCATACAAGCTGTGTCTCAATGGAATTAGTGTGAAACCTTAACTTCACTATTCTGAGGATATAACACTCATTTAGTGTTCATGTTAAGAAAAATTCATTTTGCAGTCCTACCATATAACTCTAAAAGTCTCAGAAAATAATGAAGTGAGAAGCTTTGAGTGCCAGCAAAGCCATTTTGTCACTCCATGACATCAACATTAAACATTCCATTCCATCCCTCTACCTGTAAAACGTTCACATTTTCTTCTCTCATATTTCTTTTAAATACATTTTCCTCTCCGTTCCTTTATATTCAATACGAACAAAAGTGCATTCGTGTCCCTGGATTTGTGGTATTTTCTATCTGTGGCTCCCATCACCATAAAAACACATTAGCAACATCTCACACTATGAAGTCTATTTTTTTTTAACTGTTTAATTAAAAGCTGGGTCTTACTTTTCATTCTATTTAAAGATTAAAAGAGTTCCCTTTGGAATGAATAGTACAATTTCAATTATATACTATCATTAAAAAAAATCAACGCAACCTCATAAAAGATTAACTTGCTTTCTAGTTACCTTCATTATTCTAAATTGAACTATTCAGAAAATGACAGAAGTGACAATTTTCTTATTCTACTTTCCAGTTCCATAAATATGATAATTAACACAGTGCATTATACTTTTAGATTCCACTGTCGTGGTCTAACATTTAGTCAAGTTTTAGATGCTATTTATATTCCTTTTTTGTTTCTGAAAAACTTGGCCCATTTCCATGCAAAAGGAGGCATATATTAATATTGCATACTGACTGTTTAACTTAAGAAAAACTTTCAATAATAAATGCAAGAAATTTTTAAAAACTGGAATGGAATTTTTTGGTCCTATGATGTTCTTTAATTTTAGATTTTATTATGATTTTTATATCCCAAATTTTGTCTATAACAATAAATAATTTTCTCTTAACAGTTCTGAGTTTGGGGAATGAAAGGAAGGACATGATTTTTGAGCAGTAGCTTTGCTGTTCTTCCTGACCATGCTATTCCACCACACTATCAGCGGGATCTTAGCTCTCTTTTCTTTGGACCCTGAAGTAAGTTGGAAAATTCATCATTGGTACTTTAGAGTTTAACACTTGAGGGGGAAAAGGTGGTTTTGTGCAACCATGTCTGGAATTCCAGTTTACCATGAAAGACATGCAGAGTAAAGATTTTCTTCTCGTGATTCCTGTACGTGAGAAACTCTACACAAGTTCTTTACATTTTGGCAGATTTCTGCATATAAAACAGGCTACTTGGATTATAAATTTTCTCCTGGCTGGTACTGTGGCTCTGTAGCAGTGAAGTAGTCTTCCAAGAAGGACTGTATATATTCAAACGTTGGTCTTTCATCAGGGTCCTTCTTCCAGCACTGATTCATCAAATCATGGAGGGATTCTGGACAGCCCTGAGGGCAGGGCATCCTGTATCCTCGTTCCACCTGCTCCAGCACTTCCCGGTTTACCATACCTACCCAGACAAGAGTCAGTCATTAAAAACCACGATCTGACCACTGCTAGCAGAACATATCCCCTACACTAACTGATTCAGCTGTATTTAGTGAAATGATTCTTTCAACAAAATAAATTCTAAATATCATAGTCTATCAAGAAGAGGTTAGGAAATGCTAATCCATGTCTAATTTTTCATTCCACTTAATATTTTTTTTTTTTTTGAGACAAAGTCTCACTCTGTGCCCTGGATGGAGTGCTGTGGCATCACACCTCACAACCACCTCAAATTTTTGTGTTCAAATGATTCTCTTGCCTCAGCCTCCCAAGTAGCTGGGACTACAGGTGCCCACTACAACCCCTGGCTATTTTTAGAGACAAGGTCTCACTCTTGCTCAGGCTGGTCTTGAACCCCTGAGTTTAAGCAATCCACCCTCCTTGGCCTCCCAGACTGCTAAGATTACAGGAGTGAGCCACCGTGCCCACCCCCTTATATTTTACTTTTAACACTAATGACTTCAAAAGCCAACCCCTTAAATTAATCAAAATTTAGGGTGCCACTTTGAGGCATTGATGCTTATGATATTAACATTTAGCAATGAAAGAACCTGGGCTAATGAGGAATGGTGGCAAGGTAGTATGTGAAAAAAACTTTCAAATAAGAATTCAGAAGAAATACCTGGGCATTGTGGCAGGCACCTGTAGTCCCAGCTCCTTGGGAGGCTGAGGCAAGAGAATTGCTTAAGCCTAAGAGTTGGAGGTTGCTGTGAGCTGTGATGTCACAGCACTCTACCAAGGGCAACATAAAGAGACTCAGTCAAAAAAAAAAAAAGAATTCAGAAGAAAAAGTTCTAGTCTTATACTAATCATGTGACAGGCAAGAGTCACTTCTCTGAAACAGTTTCCTTATCTCATATCACCTGTTAGACTTTCTGCTATTTATTACACACAATTCTACTGTATTCCTTTGTAATTTCCCTCCACCTACCCTACCTTGTCAGCAATGTACCCACAAGCTGGCAGAAAGACTTTTTTTTTTTTT